GAAGCCAAGCGGAGGTTGTCCTTGGTCAGCTCACTCGCACTACAGACAGGTACAGGCTTTTTGAAATACCACTGTAGCCTTGCAGCAAAGTCGACTCACTTGTGCTATGGACTGGATTCAATATTTGCTATTGTGTCTCACTGACACCTCTGTATACCTGTATACCTGAGCTTCATATAGCCTGGCAACACTGACAGCCACTGCTCACTGGCTGTAGATTGTTTAACAGCTGATGCAGGATGGGGTTGCATTGTGAAAGTAGTTCAGGGTAGAGAGTTGTCTCTGTATTTCAGCAACAAGGTCAGAAGAGGGGTCCTGCTCCCGTTCAAGACTGGCTGATCCCTTTGTGGCTGTGTGCTGCCCGCGGTAGTGGAGTGTGCGGTGTGCCACGTGTGGTGCTGGTTCTTGTCAACTATAGCCATAGTTGAGGGGAGGGGCACCCAAGAAACGCGGAAAGACAGCCTCTGTGGGGGAAACACACTGGTCCTGACCCCCAAGATTCGGGCAATAAAAAAAGGATGCATAGACATGCTATGCACCAAAAAGAGCTGCTCTGAGAGAGGATCGAACTCTCGACCTCGGGATTGCATGCGCCAGGCGCACTCAAGGTATATGAGACCCACGTGATAGCCAACTACACCATCAAAGCGAGCTGTTTGTTGTCTAGCCGGCCTTTCATGTGGTACAGAATCGTTTGCGCATAGGTGTACCGAAACTCGCACATCCACAGCATGAATGGGCCCTTAGAACGAACACTTTCTTTGGATCCCGATCCCAGAACTTGTCTTGCCTAAGCAGTCGGGCATAGAAGACCAGTAGCCTTACCGGTAACAGATTGTCTAACTGGGGAGTGTGCCTGGTATACCTTGTCTGCAGTGTGGCAAACGAAACAAGGCCGGAGCGGAAGGGCTGCATCCCAAACAGAAACTCCACAACCACATGCCACTCTGGGTACTAACAAGGGAGGGAGCAAGGCTAACACTTCTAGCTGTGGGGAGTGTCTACAGGCCAGACACCAAGCCCCGCCTCTGCAAGATTGCCCATCCCAGGTCCAGAGCGCAGTGCACTGCAGGTGCAGGATGCGGGTACCGAGCTGCCTTCTCCACTGGGCTTGCCAGCGCATACTAGATCTTGGCATTGGGTCGCACTCTCTGCGGCAACTGTGCTCCGCGTTGAGATGGCTGATGCGAGGCGGCAGCGGGGAAAAAAAGAGGAACTCGGGCTTCTTGTAGCGGATCCTCATTGTCCTCTTGGTCCCGGACTGCTACCCCCGCCCTCCCGTTTGCGAGGGCCAACAGGGAGTGTTGAGCCGTCGCATAGACAAGAATAGCGAATGACGAGCCCCCGTCGGGTGGCGCCGCGCGGAGGCAAAGGCGCTTGGAGGTGAAGATGCGGAGACAGAAAGGGCTGCACCCGGGTTGTTGGTAGGTGCAGGTACAGTGCTGAAGCCGTTGCATACTCGCGCTCACACCTCAGGTTCTGCTGTCCAGCGTCGCGCCCGGAGAGCCCATTCGACATGCGCGCAAGTCGACGGACGGAGCGGTGGTGGACCTTCTCAGCCAGAAGGCACGCTTCGAGTGACGGCCAACGCGACGTCGCCTGTTCCCTGGACCGATGTAGCCTAGCAGGCTGTCGAGAGGGCTTTCAAGAAGGTCGCATTTGACGGGCAGGAAGCTGCAGGACAGCTTCGGACTCGGCGACGAGCGATCGGAGCCGGTAGCGAATGAAACGGGGTACGGCAAACCTTCCCCTGCGACGGGCGCGAAGGAGGCGTAATACCGTGCAGGGGTGTATGTTCCACATCGAAGGCCGCATCAAGCTGCGCACGCGTAATTGTGCAAGGTGTGGCGGGGAGGAGGACACGCAACCCGCACAGCCGCCACCAATGGTGCAACCTCGCGGCAGAAGAGGACGCGCAGCTCAGCCCGGTGCGGCTTGGCCCACAGGAGGGAGGTTATCCTCCTACTGTTGAAACGCCTCCATCAAGCCTCATAGCTCTCCGCGTTCACCGTCCCTGCGACCGCAACGTGCTTTCACCTAAGACTCGGCCGCTCCCTCCGCTGAGGCAAGAGCGCCACAGATCG